CCTACAGGTGAAAATTATTGACCAGCAGAATATTCAGTGTCGCTAGCCTTTCACCTTAACTAGGTCAAAGATTGAAATAAAAACCCTGATGGCTTTAGTGATAACCGAGCTCGCATCGGCTGTCTTTCAATGTACTCGTGTTTGGTATGATGAAATCGTTTTAAAAAAGGGCCAACGCAGTCAAAAGAAGGTTTTACCTTTTATTACAGATTCCAAAATGTTTTTAGAAAAAGTCTTTCTGCAGAAATGAGAATAAAAACTGTTTCCCAGATATTTCAAAGATCCATACCTATACACATCATTCAAGGAAGGAATGAACATGTTGTTCTTCGTAATATGTCAAATTCGAAGTACTGACCTTTACGTTTTTGACACGATATATATATTAATTTTAACGATGACATCTAGTGGTCAAGACAGCCTTCATATCGGACATTCCAGCAGATCAGCCAAAGTTATTCGTCAAATCAGGAAAAATATAATGCATGTTCCCCTTTACATAGAAAAGAAAACATTTTCTGGGCTTGTATAGAGTAAAAGCTAGTCGGAAAGTTATATAATATAAGCATCATTATCACCGTCATCGTCTTTTTTTTTTTACATATGCTTTCAATTATTTGTCCATTCTTCTTAATACATTTGCTCATCTATTTTATAAGAACTATTGTGGGACTGTCATATTTTCAAGCATTTTACTTACAATAGCAGTCCTTCATCTGCATATAATGTTATAAAGTTAGATGAAATATGATGATTCGACAATGTATCTTTCTTTTATATAACAATTCGTCCCTATTTTCACGAAGTGACGGTAGTGAGGAAAATCGTAACGCAAAGTGAATGCAATTTTTTTTCAGTACCGTCACTTCGTGAAAACAGCGACGAATTGTTATGTATATTTGCTTTATTTATGACTCATTGACAGATAATAATTCTTAGTATCTTATGTTTGTTATGTTACCGAAAAATGTTAATATCTAAATGGAATCAGAAGGAAATAGATAAAGATCAGAAGTGTCCGTAGTGCCAAAGCAGGGCTTGTCACAGGACGCAACAACAATTTCACAGCTATAAAAGACTTTGCTTGAAATTAATACCATCCCTTTCTAAGGACAACCGATGAATACGGAGAAAACGCATTATAAATCTTGTAATGATTGCTGACTGTACGATATTATGAGAGGTTACCGTAGTTCTTCCGAGAACTCTTCAATATTATGAATGTGACCGGAGTCATAAGAATTATAAAGTACCCTTTGAAAAACACATTTTGAGTTTTTTTCTAGAGGTCAATAGACACGATTGGAAGCAAGAATAAAAGGCATGCAGGCTAGTGACAGTGGTATGTAGTTATCTTTCATTTCCGGGGTCAGTATCTTCACGGGGAAAGAATGGAATGGGCCAGTTTCGCAATGTAACCAAATGTATGCATAGGCCTATATGCATTTGTGAAGCGCCTCGATACAAAATATTTAATTCACCTGTTACGAGTAAATGTATCTCAATAGTTGTTGCTAGGTAGGACAAACATTACGGCTTGCCCTGCCTAACCAATGTACTGATTTGCAATTTGCATTCTGACTGTTGAAATACAATTATTCGTAGAGGTGAATGAAATAAATCGTAACGAACTTTGCAAAGATTTATGCATTAGATTGGATTACGAAAATTGCCTATTTATATCATTCTCCTTGGAAATGACCCCCCCCCCCCCATAAACAGTGTTAATTTCCTCGACTTTAGGAATGGCATGGTTATCATCTACTGTTCACCCCCCCCCCCCTCCCCCCTCTCCTTTTCGTTGTTCTCTTTTCTTTTACTTTGCTTTGATTTCGTCATTTGAATTGGGGGGGGGGGGTAACCCGAAGTGCCCCCATGCTAACGCCACTGGCGCATGTCATCCATTACCACCTTAAGATCAAGGGCACCCCCCCCCCTTTCTCTCTCTCTCTCTCTCTCTCTCTCTCTCTCTCTGAACAGTGTATAACTTTCCTAAACTCACACTCATTTCCACTTAATTTTCTTGTGTGTTTTTTTTTGTTTGTTGAGGGGGGAAGGGGCGAAACTCCCTGTGACCATTCCAAAGCCACCAGGGGGCGCTTTACCCATTCACACCTCAGATCAAGGCCATACCTGTAATACAAGTATCATCCAGCCGCTCGTGACACACCTGCCCTAAGATAAATCTGCCGGATTATTTTCTCTAGGCTGGATCAGACGTCGTCGTATACATGCCTCTAAATTTTTCGCGGGGAATCCACAATTTGTTTTGTTTTGTTTTAACCTCTTTCGTTTCTGACCTCTCCCCCCCCCCCCGCACTCCACCAATAAAATTAGGTCATTTCTCCTACTTTGAGAACAGGGGCTATTTTGAAGCACCTTAAACTTTTACAAATTTTCCGACAAGCACAGGAGAGGTATCCCAAGGATTATTAAATTTATCACCCCAAAAAAGGCATTTGCTTTCCTACAAAGACCGTGTCAGGGCTTGAACTCACGACTCATATATCAAATCATGTCTTTAGACTACTTGACAACAACAACTCTGCTGTTTCTGATCAATTTAAAGATTAAAAACAAATTTCATGTTTTAGTACTCGAGCGATTGCCATCGTCGCGCCACCTAAAAAATACCCCCCCCCCCTTAAAAAATAGAACATGAAAATATTGAAACGCTATATAAACGATTCTTGCACCAGGAGTAAACTTCTTTCATGGTTCGACAACTAAAAGCAAAATGTCGTAAGATCAATGATGACATTTTATTCTGTATCTGATATCAACCGAATTTGATTATTACCTTTTTAGTTCCCTCTTTGTGTGATTTATATTCCTTTATTGTTTTCTTGCTTTTAACTATGCAATCATTACGTGATATCCTTGGTAGCCTGAAGACGAAATATGTCGACTTCGTCTACTCTTGGAGCAAATTCCAGAATCCACCTTTAACCCAATAACAAGAAGTTATTCACCTTTCTCCATATGTGCCCGCGTACAGTGCCCTAGATTTTGGGGGTATAAGCCCGTCGGCTGGGGGTTAGTCCGATATGCAAGGTCTCGTGTTGGGCTTTATCCGTTAAACACCTCGACCTTAACACGGGGTCGAGCTGCGCGCGCTCGTCAAGGCGAAGCAAAATCCGAATCGTCCTCAAATTCACCTTCAAATCAAGATTTTGGCAGGACTCCATTTCGAAGTTATAAGGAGATGCTGAAACTGGCTTTCCCACATCTCTCCAGGCGGATGTCTATAAAAATGTATGACATTCATTTCAAAGATATTTACTTGAAACGTTTTGTTAAAGGGAAAGTCCACCCCCAAAATAAGTTTGTTTCGATAGAGGCAGAATAATAAGAAAATCAGGTGAGTGAAAGTTTGAGCAAATTCTGAATGAAAATAAGAAAGTTATGAATTATTGAAGTTGTGATCAATCAAATACAAATTGGCAACTCTGTGACTTATTATACGAGCTCTCCTTCATTTGCTTTGTGCATAATATTCCATAAAATCACGTTTTCTTCGTTATTGATGACGGAATATATATTTGTTCCTTGCAGGGGGAGTATAGAAACATATTTGCAATTATTATATTTAGGGTGCATGTATGGTTGAAATTTTTCTTGAGGGAAAATGAAAATTTTAGATTTTTTTAGTACTGAGCAAATGGAAGTTGAGCTCGCATGATACGTCATAGAGTTGCCAATTTGTGTTTGATTGATCACAACTTCAAAAATCCTAACTTCCTTATTTTTAATCGGAATTTGCTCAAACTTTCACTGACTTGTTTCTCTCATTTTTCTACTCCTATTATAACTAACTTAATTTCAGGGTGGACTTCCCCTTAATCAGAAAAATAAAATAACATCCATTTTGTTGCAACAGTAGGTTAGTACTAAAAGAGGGGGCACATGCACATCTTCATCCAATTGAATGGAGAAAAAGAAAGGAAACTAACAAGAAGAAAGAGAGAAAATTGAAGTGAGCGTGGAAATTGCAACTGAAAAGTGAGTTGTACCCCTTCTTACACCCTCCCATTTTTCCCACGCCTTTTGATTTCTAATTATTACTACTACTATTTTTTGTTCACATTTTGTCCACCTAACACCCCTCATCCTAAAAGTGGCCCCTTATCGGCTGGAAGCTTGACCAATGTTGATAGACATTTGCCGACCAGACCAGAAAGATTGTGGAATGGCGGTGTATTTTGCTTTATGAATTTTGTATAGGCTACCTTAATCCAAAAGTGCATTTTTTTTACAGTAAGGATTGTGGATTTCTTTTACAAACCCGAATACAGTTTTGAATAATAAATTTACTGAACGTTTTTAATTTTAGCTGCAGTTGGAGTTTTTCTTATTCAGTTGCTCACTTCGTAACACTTTGGAACTTGCACGTTGCGGTAAAAATTTCCAGCGTATCTCTTTTCTTATCGTCGGAGATATCCGTGTTTCTTCTCTGTCTTAGGGGGCGTCTTTCTTCTTCAGACGCTGGGCTGTCGCACGACCGTAGCTTATTATTATCAACATCATACACAGGGGCGAACCAGCTAGAGTACAGTCTAGAGGTGACTGTACTATTACTCGAACGAGCCTTGAGCGACCTCCGTTGATATTTATGTCATGCCAATACTCGAACTTTCTTTATTTGTTGATTTTCTTTTCTTTTTTTCTTGCCCTCCAAATAATCACCCGGCACCATGTCAATGCACTGATATATTCCAGGTTTGTTCAGAGTGCGTGTTGACTTAATTTCTTTAGGAGGAAAATAAAGAAGAAAATACGGGAGACAGGTAGAGAAAGAGAACACTCGTATGATGAGTAGGTGTTCATTGAACTTAACTAGTCGAGCAAGGACGGGTGCTGATTGGTCGATGGGCGTGTGCTTATTAGCATAAGTACGAAGTTTCGCAGCCAATCAGAAGGCGGGATTCTCCGAATGGGAAAGCTACGTTTGACAGACTATGGGATAATTAAGCAAACGATTCTGCGCGAAGGTATAAAATAGCTAACGTGATAATGGGTGATGACATATCAACGGCCCTCTATACCCCGTCTTCGATTATTACATGTGTGTGGTTTTAGGTTATTTTGAGGGTAACTGCTAGCGAGCTGGCGTGCGCTTACTTCGTATTACCTGTCAGGCGATCGCTGAGCTTCAATCAGCTGGCTGTGTTGCATGCTCGAATCGTCGCGTGCGCCCGAGTCTGTGTTCGGCGTTTGACATCGCAGGCGATCAGCTGCAATATCAACGGAGAGAGAAGGATAGAAGATTCATTCGTAGCTCAAGCTCAAAGAGAGAAAACATCTCGTCTCGCTGGCGGATTTCTCTTCTAGTCACAGTGACTGTTCTTTACAAGACACCCGTTTGGATTTTTCGTGAATTGAATTCTTTTTAATTTGTATGGGACCTCGAGCTAGGTGAATCATGGTGGCTATCGAGTTAGTGATTCTTGTTCTTGTTTTGTGGATGGTTAAGAGTTTTGTCTCCAAGAGATATGGCAAGCAATATCGCTTACCACCCGGACCTCCTGCCCTACCAATCATCGGCAACTTGCCGGTATTCATGACGGGGAAAGCCCCGTATCGCGTCATGAAGAACCTCGCGGACAAATACGGGAGCGTCTTCTCCCTCAAGATCGGCACAACTCCATTCGTCGTGCTCAATGACGTCGACTCGATCAGGGAAGCCCTCCACCATCGCTCCGTCGACTACGCCGGACGCCCCTGCCTCTACTCCGTTAGCCTCATGAGTCGAAACAACTGCGATATCGTTTTCGGCGACTACACCCCCGGCTGGAGGTTGCACCGCCGCGCCACGGCGGCGGCCCTGCACAAGAATATCCGCGGCGTGGGCTGCGAGGCAATGGGAATTAAAATCACTCGCGAGGCGGAATATTTCACCCAACTTCTCATGAAGAAAGCCGGACCTGTCGTCGACATCGAGAACGAGCTCAACCTCGCTATCATCAACATCATCTCACAGCTCACATTCGCTACGAGATATACCTTGGACGATCCCGAGTATCAAGCCCTGGTTGACAGCAATCAAAAATTCTCAAGCCTCTTGAAACCAGGAGATCCCATCGATGTGTTCCCAGCACTAAAGGTGAGAGGCAATACAATTGTAATATTTAATTGTTTTTATCTAGGCCAACATAATATCTGACACTTTCTGATATATGTTAAGATTTCATCTGACTGCCCCTGTTTCAAATTTTTTTTCTCACTTAAATTCATAATTGTAATCTATCAAGATCCTGCACCTATTAAATCCTCACTTAAGTACAATTTTGCCTGTACCAAATACAAATATTATTTAATGGTGACCCCCCCCCCCCCCAGATAAAAATATTTTGTTGATTATTGACACCATCATGACCGTAATCCCTAAAGTGTGTAGTATTGTTGCAAGTTTAATTGAAAACAATGTGGATATACTTTGTTTATTCCAAAATGATGGAAGGAAAAACAAGTATACTAATATCAAGGAAAATGTTGAGGCATGTAAAAATATAATTTTATGTACTAAAAAAAATATATCAAAGCCTAACGAGGAGTATGACATTTCAATGTAAAGGGCGAAATTAAAAATTGGAGTAAAGCTATGAAATGAATATTTTGAAAGAAACAACAGGGGAAATAAAGAAGAGCAAAATTTGTTCCGGTAGCGCTCTTCGTTTGCAAAGCTGAGCATAATAATAATGTGGACTGAGAAATTGAGAATGAACGCACACGGAAAGACGTAGGGCAAGGTTTATACTAAATATAGCTCCACAATCCAATATTGACATAGGGCAACACGCGCGGGCAATAGTTGAACTATGTAGTCGGGTATAACACTTCGAATATGATACTCTACTGAATGTAATATGACGATATTGCTTTGAAGCGATAAAAATATTATTTTGACCCAACGTTGCTGATGAGTGCGGAAGTTTATGCTTACGCGTTGTGGATTTATTGATTGTGAGTGAGATAGGATGGAAGAAAATGGCAATAAGATGTATTTTCAGGGAAACATTAGTTTAAATTGTCGTTTGTAGATAGCTCGTATACAATATAACCTGTGTATAAAAGTATGGAAGGGATAGCTTCTAAAATAGTACAATTTCGGGGTAATGGCAGTCGGCAGGAATGCGGTGAATTTAGGTGGCTACAATCCCAAACTTATACCTTACAACAACAGCTACTCTTGTGAAAATAAACTAACATTGGAGTAAGTCTGCATCTAGCTGAGATTTAGCAGCCTACTCCAAATTTAGCCCCATTTTTGTGAGATTGTCCGCGTTCTTTAGGCGCGAGATGCTATATGAATGCAATTTATATTGACCTACAAGACGGTTCGGCAAAAAAGGTGCCCTGCCCGTTATGAGGAAACGAGATGACTTGAAAAGCCTGCATAGAATTAAGAGAGTGTTAAAATATTGACTTACGTGTGTGGTTAAATACTCTAAAAAAATCGACTCACAATACTCAGGGATAGAAAATTGAAGGGACCTTTTACAACAGCATTCAACGTGTTGAACAATATTTTCGACACCTAGGATTGTAGATCGCCTGCAACTGCAAGCGGTGCACATATGTTTTATGCACACTGTTGCATTGGGCTGTGCGCTGTATTTTAGATGTAACTATGCATCAGGGCGTCGTTGAATGACCCATATCTGCAAGGCAGTGAAAACCTTTAGCTGTATTTTTTTCAAATATTCTCTAGTTTAATTGAAAAACATTTGGCTTTAAGCTTCAAACAACCATAACCAACGGCTACAAAGCCACTTGTTCTTGGTAATTATTACACTTTGAAATGGGAAAATGACAAGGCGCAAATAGGACGAGTTGTGGATGGTTATTGCAATGTAAACAAACTATGTTGAGGAGGAGGAGATTTAATGTAAGGAGGATGATGATGGCGATGATGATGATGATGGGAGAAAAAATGTGGATGGTAGTTGGTAATGAGGGAAAGACGTACCACTCTTCACAAAGGCGTGGTGTTTAAAATACACAGGATTGTTATGGGGGCCGATTCAAAAGACCGAGCGAGGATGCACAATGCCGCTTGGAGATTTGATACAGCGTAGTATAGATGCCTTCCCGACATATGCCATACCGTTGACCTACAATTCTTGACTGGTATACAAGGTGTTTGGAAGACGTCTTAGCACAGCTTGAGTCAGTTGATGAATGATGCGATGCGAGTAACTGGATGACGGCCAACACAAGTACTAGCAGTAGCCTCACGTACGCAGCTCCCAGTCAAGTCATTGTCATGGCAACGGGACAGCATCAGTCTTCTCCTCCGCGCATCTCTATCTCATTCACAATTATTTGCATCCTGTGGTCATGTTGTTGTTTGTTGTGGGTTTTTTGCCCACTGGTATCGAACATGATTGCGATTCATCTATCATGTCAATCATTCATGTTATCTCCTCTTCGCTTCATTTATCAATGTTATCCCGAGTCTTGTCTTCTGAGACAGTTTGTGTTAACGTTCGTAAACACTACCTTCATCTCCTCTCTCCATCTCTCTCTCTCTCTCTCTCTCTCTCTACTTCTCTCTCTCTCTCTCTCTCTCTTTAATTAAATCTCTTTTTCAATCCCTCTCACATCAAATATCATATCACGTATCATCATTTCTTATAGTAATTACTAGCATTCTTTGATTTTCCTTCTTCCTTTTCCTCTGCTTTTTCCTTCCTTCCCTGCCACCTCCTCTCTTCTCTCTCTCTCTCTCTCTCTCCCTCTCTGTTGGCATACGACTGAAGTGCAACACCGCAATGAACATTGCTCACTGTATATCTAATGAGGATGTATTTATAGTGAGGATGCTCGCAAATAGAGAGAGAGAGGGGTGGTGAGAAGGATGGCGTTAATATACTTGATAGAGAGAGAGGGAGAGAGATAGAGAGTCAGAGGGATACAGACAGAGTGAGAGATAGAGAATGATAATAGAGACAGAGAGATGCACAGAGAAAGAGAGAGATGCACACAGAGAGAAATCAATAAACTGTATATACGGCAGCGGTATACCCGTTTGAAGCTCGAGCAATAATGCGTAGATTGCTTTGCTCCCCTGTCTTGTACTTTGCGGATACCATAGATAAACCAAGTGATCGCAAAATGATGAGCATAGATTGTACATGGAGTTCTATTTACATTGGATCATATGCAAGTGCGCAACTACTGTATTGGTTTCGTCTATCTATGTTTGCTTCATTTTTTTTGGATAAAATACAGAAATACCGAATATACCAAGATCGTTCCGTATCATTAACATGATTGAAGGGTATATATTTAAGGGTTATAAACAAGCATAGCGGTGTGGTTTTTTTTTCTTTTTTCTACAGCGCTTACACATCTGCTAAATAGCTATCTAAGTATTCAAAATGGCATTTGTGTATACTGTCAGAATTTTGTATAGGGTCTCAAAAAGTAAATGAAAACAAAATAGAACTCTGATCTCGAAAAGCCATCTAAAATATTGTTCATATTTGCGAAAATGACGAAAGACCCAAGATGATACATAGCATTGGTTAATTGGGATTTCAACGTCTTTTCTTTCTTGTTTATTGTGTTTTGAGTTTAGGGGGTAGTTTTCTTGTCTTCTGCGTATTTAGGAATTCGGGGACCTTCACAGTCTTGACAATCCACAATACTTGCTTTATTCAAGAGTACTGAAATTCGAACTTGTTTTTCGTTCAAGTGAATTATCCCTTTACTATTTATTAGGATATATGCATGTGAACATCAAGGTAGTTTTCTCTCTCCCTCTCTCTCTCTCTCTCTCTCTCCCTTCATCCCTTGAGTTACCCACGCGATGCTGTAAACGAATACGGTTTGCAATGAACCGAATCGACACACGTTAGCGAATGCAATTCTGCAGCCAACCGGAATCCGGGTTCACAAATAAAATAGATTGTAGTCTGTCAATTCAAACTGCTCTGGTGTCAGTTTTATTGAATATTTAACCAAAACCATCTGAAAAAACTGAAAACGAAAGTATCTAGCAGACTTTCTAAATCAAAACTCATCTCTTTTCAAATAGAGGGCTATCGAAATGCAAAAAAAAAAATGTGTTTTAGTTTTGGATGAATAACAAAACGCCTACGTTTTCTAGCTGTGTGATGGATTGAGTGACACTCAAAACTATTTCCTTAATATAAAGCAGTGTTCTCTCAAATAAAATATAGAATTCTAAACAAGTCGTAACATTCAGTACAGCATTTCAAAGATTGAGAAAGAGCGTCTGGTTGCCGATAGTGTGTGTGTATTTGTTTTCCGACCGTAGAGGGTGCATGTGCAGTATCACCATCGGTACACGCACAACAGAACTCACGCGTGCATTAGTTCTTTTGGAGGTGGAAATCACAACTTCGTGATTAACTAGATTAATGATTTCCTCATCACAACACCTATTCTGATTTGTTGCCAATTTGTTGACATCGCAATAAAAAAGAACGAAATCCGTGCCAAAATAACTCGTCATCGTTTTCATTGACGATATTCATTTCGAAACAAAAAGGGGTCTGCAAAGTTGAGAAGGTAATGAACGGATTCGCCAATTATCCATGACATGTTTATTCATAATGCAATTAACGGGTTAGTGTCATTTTGTGAAGAGTTTGGCGATTTCAAATATAGTGGCTGTTAGTGAAAAACGATGCATTTCGTTATTGCAATATCATCAAGCAGTCTGCTATTGAAGACTAAAAGGATTCGAGTTATTGAATGATATTTGGTCATGTTTTTCGATGCGCAATAGTGAATGTACCATTCTTATTTGATTAACGGGCACGCAATATAAACCTAGCAAAACCACGAGCATCGCTTGGAACAAACCAAATATGATTTGTTTATTGACAGAGCTAGCTCTACTGAAAAACGGGCCAAACCATTAACGTTTGAAATAAAGTACGACTTGTTTGTTGAAGAATAGAAGGTAAAGCTCCAAAAGAAAATGCATAAAATTGCAAAGCTTATTTGCAAGGTAAATGATTGATGTTAGTCAATAGAACATTGACATTTGGATAATGACACGAAATGATTTGATGTTATCATTATAATGTGTGTGTTATTTCTCACAAAACAACTGTTGATGTATCAGTT